TTAGGCGACAAAAGGTGCAAAACGCAAGCAGCGTAAAGCCTGTGATTCACAACTATGCGCCATTTTTTCTATGGTGTCGAGTTATGTATCTGCCTCGACCCTCACCTGTTTTTGCCGCCGAAGACGTTTTGCAGTTTTTAGGTATACAAGAAATTGGTTTGTCGCCTAATACCCTAAACCCGTTTATTCTTAGTAGCTACGGTTTTTCTCGAAGTGGCTATGATTTACACGGCCATTTACTATCCTTAGTTTTGTTTAAGATTGCACGAGAGTGTGTTGTCATAGATAATGTGTTAAAACACGGTGTTAATAAAGGCCAGATTTATTAAGGCCCGTGAAACTGCTGCGTTTATATCGAAATTGATGCTTGTTTTGCTTAACAGTATATGAAGAATAACAATATGCTATCAGCCGTATGGGGATCGGCACAAGCTTACACCTGAAACACCCTTTATAGAATAAGTAAAGGTTTGCATAAGAACCCACATCTCTCTGCAATATTCATGCTTATCGAACTTTCTGCTAAGGGAACACTTCCATATTTTTCCGTAGCGAGAGAACAGGTTTGAAATTGTTCTTGAAAGCCTATATGTTCTCCTTCCGATTCGGATATTGGAAGAATTTGCTCATTATAACTTATACGATACAAGGTTTCTAGCGGTGTTCCCATCTTCGAGTATGATTCTTCAAATGATGTGTTAAGGGGTATGTTTTTGAATCCTTGCATTGTTCTCTGTTGCACATACTCTGATAAATCACTCCCATATAAGTCTCGCGTGACATTCACATTTCCGGGAATTAAAGGTACCGAGGCAAAGTAGCCAGGAACGAGAGGAGGATCGTCGCCCCCATTCTGTATGTAATGAATCAATTGTCCGCCATAATGCAGATGGTTAACCACCAAGCGTGGATGACGACGCTGTCTCCATTTTGCATCTGTTTCAAAGATCCCGCAGGTAACAACCTCAGATTCTAAATTGCTATTCTCGGTCTTCTCCGTTACATTTTCCCTTTTTTCCTCTATGCGTGATCGTTTCTTCACATCAGCTACCAATTTCAGTTCTTCTTCCAGTCTCATTTGATCTACCTAAGTTAACTGACTATTCAATATTTATACTGATTTGTACTTGCATACCAAGATGCTAGCTAAATAACGATTGATGATTCTTCTCAAAGGGTGCAAGCCGTGGGTGGAGTATGTTGGTGGTGGCTTGATGCTAGCTTTGCGAAAGAATGACGTGTTTGGAAGAAGATGATAGGGTGGGGCCAGCGGTAGATATCGTGGGCGTTTTGATGGGTCTGGATGCTCCAAATTCTGTAAATCTTCATCCATATTTGGCGGTATGAACACCGGCCACTAAAATGTAAGTGTTCTTTTCAGGAGTCTGTACTATTCGTGTGCCAGTCGGACAATTGCAGAGTGTCTCAAAAAATGTGCCTACTGTATGGTTGTTGATAACTATCTTATCTGAAGTCTCGACAAACGCTGGGTACCACTCTGTAGAGCTGGCTACTTGCGGTAAGGTGCGGTTATCGTTGTCTCTTCGTTACTGTAGGATAATTAGGAACTTGGAGGAAAGTTGCGCCATTGAGTGTCCTATTTTAACTCTAAAAACAAAGCAAGAAGCTGAAATCTCCCACAGGGTAAATCACAGTTGCTGTTCCAGATATGTTTGCCCTTCACTGTAAGGTTTTTCTAGATCATGGTAAATAAACCGTAACTATTCGTCAAAAAATTTCCAAGACCATTAAGAAAGTCTGCGAACGCAAGAAAAAATTATGTAGTGAAATCATGCCTAAAAATCTCGTTTCGCTATTTTTCACTTTTTTCAAAAAAAATTTTCCCAGACGGCTTATTTCACTGTGGCGCCGTATGCTGCGAGTTCCCACCGTAATTCTACAATAATAAAGATGGGTCCGTGATTTGCTTTATACTGCGAATCTAAGATGAAGCCAGCACTATAAAATGACACCCTCGAAAGATCTCCTGATTAGAGAGTTATTAACAATTAAACAGTAGGCACATTTTTTGGGACACTCAGTATTGACTGAGAACATTTTTTTCTCACTTACCTCTTGATTCAGTCCTCGGCGGTAATTTCTATGTATCTCCATGAGTTCCTTTGCAGTTGTATTGGGTGGCCGCAAAAATGGACGTTCTGGACTTGATCCCTCTATGTAAGATACATTCATTACGACTGAGCCTGGAGGATTTTGATTCACATCTTCGCCCTGCAATTTGTATATGATATATTGTTTGAAAAATAAGCCGAGAGAGGCTCAGTTCCAGAAGTACGATGGGCCCTTAATGGCGAATAAAAAGCTAAAAAATGCAAATGTGAAGCAAACATATTCTCCTCATGAACTCGCAGGTAAGGATCTGCAAATGGAGATGCTGCTTGGTTCCGTTATTGCGTTATTAAAACCCATATGCGCTAACCCGTTATAAAAGGGCCGCTAGCGAACGCGCTGCGGTTTTTTCGTCAATAGAGACGCCACTCTCCTAGCCGTAGGGAAGTTAGTGCATATGGGCCTAAGGCAGATTTCTGTATTTGCTACATGCGGTGGACCTCCTTGAAGAGATTACTAGAATAGCTCTGATAAGCTCAAACATTACAGAAGTTTACTCATTTACTGTGGAACAGAGCTTAAATAGTTACTATTACAAAGAAGGTTTAGTGATCGACCATGCGTGACGAAGCGAAGAATGCGTCTCATTTGGAAGGTCTCACAATCTCATCAGAAGCAAATTTTCCACACCCAAGTTTCCTTTTGAATGCATATTATGAAGGATGTTCGGTTCAACGTACCACTTGTCGTTTTCAAAGAATCAAAAAGACAATCAATCACGGCTTGTATAAAGAGGTATAAGCTGCTGCATGACGACGCAATAACTTTGGGCGCGAACGCGCCTTTATCAACCGCAGAGCGTAAGGGGCGCATGATTTACAACGGTGAAGAACGCGTGCGTTCGCGCCGCTTAAGCAAGGCTGCTTTTGCGCCATCGTCATGCAGTAGCCTTTACCTTATGGTGTCTTCCAAGTCATATACAAGGTGTCCCAAAAAAATGTGAACACTGTTTAAT